GCGATGTACTTTGTCCATCCCAAATAACAATCAAGAGACAGCCCGAACGAGCCAACGCAAGAGCATGCAAATGCAACTGTAACGTCAACGGTAGCGCCGCCTGCCTCCACATATATTAAGGGAATTAATTCAGATCAGGGGAGCCAGAACATCATCCCCGTTATCCATCGTTCAATTGCCAACTGATTGCTTCCCACATCATTCCGTATGCCTTTTTAGAACCTTGAAATTAACATATATATTCTATTCTATTCTATTCTATGTAATTATTTATAATTTTACCACTACTCCTATTCTGCATTGGTTTATCTGCTACACAATTTATAATTATTATTCTTCTTATTTTGTAATCTTTTCTGTGCCCCAATAAAATATTCTTGTTTATGCGTTGAGCTTATTTATGATTTGGATACCAAACAATCCCAGTTCGATTTAGTTATTGAGGCAACAATCATTAGTTATATCGATGGGTATGTATTTATGTATGAGTTCGTTAAACAATCATTTACATTAACATTTAAATTTACATTTCCATTGAAACATACTTTATCACTAATTTCATGTCATTTTGATTTACATTTGAGTTCACTTCATGGCGCTATCATTGCATAAGAATTAATTGAACAATTCTAAACGAAAATCCATCTCAATGGTGTGACGTAAGCAATTGGGAACCATTAGTGAGGTAAGCTACACATTAAACAAGGAAAACCGCCAATCGACCAGACCAGATCGATTGGCAAAAACTACAACTAAAACTAAGTCTAAGTACTAAACGAAACACAAAACACAATCTATGAACTTTCACCGACACCAACAACTGTCTCAGAGTCTATCTCTAAGCTGCAGACTAGCAGCAGCAACTACGCAACAATTTATACTTAAAAAGACACATAGAAATCAACCAGACACAGATGCGAGCATAGGTAGAGATGATACATCCTGTATCTCGTATCCTGTATCCGTGTCTACATACAGGGCGATGAGGCTAACACGAATTGTTGTGCCTGCATACAAAAATTCAAAAACTGCATTTAGAAGTTTCTGAGCATGCGCAAAATGATTTATATAGAGCGAGTCATACTGTAATCATTTAACTTTAAAAGTATAACTAAACACAAATAATGATTAGCGACTGTTAAAGGCCAACAATCAGCTAGCTAATTCGTACACTTAAAGCAAATGCAACTACAAATACGAAGCTCGACTCGAATACGATATTTTATAAAAGCTAGAAAGCAGGTAAAGCCAGAGTAAAGCAAGGTTGTTTCAGCAAAGGATTACCAAGAAAGGAACTACTTACTACCCAAGCAAGAAGCTAGACGAATTACACATAACTAATGCTTTTTAACTCGACTTAACACGTCATCTCCATGTGGGACAGACTCCAACTTTGCTAATTCAAAATTCAAAAACTCTTCACACTCACATCTTCACCCACAAATACACACAAAATACTCAAGACAAAATACTGTAAGTAGCGCATTCAAATCATTATCCAATCTAGAGTACACATATACCTAGGGGTATAGAGTGCCACGATCAGCTGATGAAAACGTAGTTAGTAATATTTTTTAGTGTATGTGAATGTGTGCGCTTTTTACCAGCGATTTACGAGCAGCATCTGTGGTGTTCTAAACAATTTTTGATAGATACAATCGGTAAACAAAATCGAAGGACGACAACGTACGTTCTGTGTTCTGCTTTTCTCAGACTTTTCCCTTTCTCCGATCTGTAAATCTACAATTTTACATTTCTATAACTTTCACGCACCTGCGCTCGAGCCGCCAAAAGGGTAACGCTCTTTTTTTGTACATAGCATGTAAATATATAAAATAGCTCCAGATTGTGTCTCGGATATGTTATCGTTTCGTTGTGCAGCCAGTTTTCGGTACCATATAATTGTAATTTGTTCAAATGATAAACACTGCCAAAGCGTATAGAAATCACATTAAATGTAGATCAGCCAACCCGAAGCAGACACCATTCATCCGATTAAATGGGTAATACAATACAATACCAAAAGCGTAACAAGAACACGGCATAGAGCAGAAGCATTCAATGATTAGGTTTGTTTCCACCCATGATTAGCCAATAACAAATTTAAGTAAAACGAATTCGAGCTTTTAAAATTAATACATCAAAAACAAAATGGGAGATCGTAAGGGAACTAAGTGAATGAGAATAACGAGTTCATTTTCGTTTTGTATCTGATTTGTAGGGGAATTTTGTGTAGCCTTGGCTTACCCAGAACGTAAACTTAAATAAATATGTGAATATTATGCGCCTTCGAAATTTATGTAAACGTGTATGTAGCCGTGCAATGTGAGAAAACATTTAAACTCATTTAAAGTAAACGTAAAAGTAAAGGTAAAGGTATTAGTCAGGTGTAAATGTTAACGAATGAAGAGCATAGCATAGCTTAGCATAAAACATAAGACGACTAGATATCGTGGCAAGAAGTTCATTATTGTTAATGCTAAAATTAAAACTAAATATTAAATCGATTAACAACAACCGCATTTGCAATCCTAAAATAAAAAGAGATAGACAACCAGAGAGAGGAGTAGCGAAAACCCAAAAGTTAAACATAATTTTTAAATGAATAAACTAGGCATTAAATTTATAGAAATCTCACGTACTCATACACACATACACACCAAGCCACATAAGAACACACACACACCTACACAAACACAACAGCGAAGACCCCAACAACAAGAACAAAATGAACTCTCGATGTTGTGAAACTTGATCAAATCATGTTTACGCTATAGCAGATCAATAGGAAACCGAATAATGTACCACAAACTATTCAGAAACATACCAGAACCTACCCAAAAGCTTCTTGATAACATACCAAAAAATTAACCCAAAACAAATATCGAAGAAAAAACTCTCCGACAAAGCTGCCTTTGCCATTCACATTTCCAATTGAATAAATTTCGAATACTTTTTCCACTTCGCTTCATCGACAAGTTCTCAGCAGCTTTGTTCAAAAAAAAAAGCTATATACAGACACATATATATATTAATTAAATCGCATAAAAATATTCAATGCTGTATAACTTACTTTAAGAGCAAACTTTTTATAGAAAATTGGTGAATAAAAATTCCAAAAAAAAATATATATATAAATATATATATTATCATACTCGTAAATGTGAAGCTATGCAGCATTTTACTGTAGTTAGATTTTTTGTATAGAATCAACGTTTGCAGCTAAAAAAAAAAAAAAAAATAAAACGATAATTTTACACGTTTAAGCGGCAATTGATAAAAATGTTCATTTTGTAAGGGAATAAAGATATTTGAAAAAATATCATAATTAATTTACAAATAGCAATTAAATACGAAATGGAAAAACCGAAAAAAATATTTTTATAATTTTGCGGCACTTTCACATAATCCATAATGCATTACAAAATGTATAAATAAAAGAAACCAAAATACCAATCACATTATGTACAACATTATTGTAGTTAAATTTTTTTAGTTTTTACTCGCTATTTATATAAATATATTTACACAAGAAAACCGATCGGAAGAACGTAAACTTAAATGTAGACCTAAAACTAAAACTAAAACAGAAAACGTAAAAGGCGATAAACAAATTATTAATTTAATTTTAAAAACAATTTATAAATAAATCGAAACCAGAGCAGAACGCGCATAATGAAAATTAGTTTAGTTAAAAGCAGCCACAAAAAATATAAAAAATTTTTAAATAACAATTAAAACGCTAAAAAGGATATTTTAAAATTTGTCTAAAATACAACAGAAGAAGAAAAACAGAAAGAAATGATAAATGTATAAAATAAAAGGTATAATAATAATATTATGTTGTTAATGTTTAAAAAACCTTGTTAAAAATAATATTTCAAAATAAAATATAAATACAGACAAAAAAAAAACAAAAACAAACGATGTAACCAAAAATCGCAATCGCAGCTTTATGAAAAGTGAAATTTTGAGTTATGGCTCGAGGTTTTGGGCTGCCCAAGAGACCATTTTGACCCACATATGGCGGGGCAAACGCAGTTAAATTCCAATGACCAATTGGGTTTAGAAATTGGCGGTTGCGCCCTGCATAAAATCCGACCAATTACGCCCGGGTGTGTTTCATAAGCGTCTGGTTGAGGGCTCATTATCATTATCAAGGGGCCTTGTGTACCTAGGAGGGTCGTCCCTCTCGTGGAAACCAATATTGATAAACGTAGTAACTGTCTCTAAATAGGGATTGTCTTCAATGCCACAGGTTCTTTCTTGTCTAAGAATAAATAAAAATAATACAGTATCTTTTATAAAAACTAGTACAGTCAATGCCCACTGTGGCTGCCATATTTCGTAATGTCAATCTCTGGCTTTGCTCCTGATTGGTGCCGCTTCCACAGGCACAGTGGCAACAGTTGACAGGCAGCGCACTGGCTACAACGATGCCGTCTCCTGCTCATGTGCGCCTGGTCCGCATTGCTTTTTAAGGTAAAGAGCAACTGCTGAGAGACAACGAGTTCGTTGTCTAGGTCTTTTGTTTTTCCCCCTCTCCTCGCTTTGTGCCGTTTCTTTCTTTCGCCGGGCAAGAACAGTCGGTGGCAAAACACTTTCGTTTGCGCTTCCATTGCGGCTTAAATGAGTGGCAGCAATCTTGGCCACTTGCTGGCCAATTCATGTTGCTCGTTGGTCGCGTGCTAAGCCTGGGCCATCAGCGCAAACAAGTTTTCTGCGCCGGCAGCGGTGCAAACGAAGACGCATGAAAATCCGACCACTTTCTTTGCGGTGCGCATTTCCAATGCGACGCCGCTACGTGGGCTTCCAGTGGATGGATCGTTAGCTAGTGCCCCAGCACATGGTTTTTGTCCGTACTCCACTGCCGACTCCGAATCAGTTGTCTTCGCGACTTGAACAAGTGCAGACGTCGCCGTCTCTGGCTATATCAGAAATTCTGTGCGTGCAATTGGTACTGAAGAAAGCGCCGCGGCGGACGCTGACATGAAGTTAATTGATGTGATTATATACTTAATTGCCATTTTGATCTTCATCTACTTGCTGCTTGAGGCTTAGAAGAAGCCAAAAGTCAGTCAACTATTGCCCAGAGCTTTCTACAACAACGGAAACATCATCATCATCCTCAATATCTTTCGACAAACCAACGAAAATCCAAAGCCACAAACCCAAACCAAGATGAGGGTAAGTAATTCGCACGAAGTGATCTCGAGTTTGTTGTCCGCAATTAGCGATAATTAAAAAAAATCTTTCACTGTGCATAGTAATAGTTTGAAAGTAATTTGAATGGCACATCTACTTTGCTCTGCTTTGATCACTCAGCGTGCAACGACTCTTATTTGATCGACATTCATCAGCAAGCTCACCTTCACCTTCAAATCCAATTACCAGACAATGCCGCCGCATCTGCAATTGAATTGAATATTTGACAAATTGTGGTGTGGCCGGCAAACGGCGTACTTTCATTTGCAATGAGAGCAGTTGATGCGCCAAGTTTCGCTGTGCCAGTGCCAGTGCCAGTGGCAGTGGCAGTTTCAGTTGGACTTACCGCAGCCAGCTAGAGATAGAGCTCTAGACAATGGATCGCTTTACGTGCACCAATTACAGTCGCTGCTTGCCTGACTTTGCCTCAATGTGCAGCGGGCTTGAAAATAAAATGCTTACCGCTAAAATAAAAGTTGCAATTCAAGTTGCAATTTGGGTTAACCAAACTGTTGTTTGTGGACTCGGTGCTACAGCGCTGCTGGTGACAGCCTGCTGATCGATAGTTCCGTTTATGCCTAACGGCGCAATCCTTTGTCAAGTTCAATGTCCCATCCGGGCCAAGCCCAGTACAGCCCAAGGAAAATCAAAATTAAGTGCATTCCAATATCAATATTTTGACTTTCGTTCAAACACGTTGCGGTAAGCAATCTCAGCATCCGTCTCCTGGCGGCAGTTCATTCACCAGACAGGCCTGCAATATGTATTTGCATATTATTATGCATATTGTATGCAAAGGCGACAAACTAACCACTAACCACTCGATAAACAATAGGCAACAATTTGGTCCCAATTACGCCTATCCCTGTCTCTGTCTCCAAGTCACAGTCCGTCTCTGCTTGCGATTAAGCAAACGCAGCACGTAATCAATAACCACATATACATACAGTACTTATGTACGCGTATTGGACTCGGTTAGGCATTTCACCCGTTGATTGACGTCTGGCTAACGGCACACAACATTGTCATTGTCATTGCCTCCTCCTCCTCCGTCTGCGCCTTCTCCAGTGGCGGGACTGGGCCTGGTCAAGTGAAATTATTATATCCAATGGTTGCCATCAAATTACCGACTTCCACTTTGATGGAGCACGACCAAAAAGTAGCCAAGCAGCAACGAAGTTCATGTACTGTTATCGACTTTAAAGAGAATTAATATGGGCTTCGAATGCAGTCGTAGTATAATGTAAACACCTTGCTCTGGAATTAGGTTAATATCTTTTGATTAAAGGATCTCTTAAGTCCACTATATTTCATTTAATGAATTGTTTCTTGGAACGGTATGAAGCTTATTTAGCTTCCGTACTTAGATCCATCCAAGACTACAACAAGAGGCTCTTTCAGTCACTTAAGTCCCAGAATTACAAACCGAGCCACCAAGCCTTATATACCCACCGCCAAGCCATACAAAAATATCACCGCAACAATTACAGAACCAAGACATATCAATATTCAACTTTTCACTTTCATTCTACGGCAATGCGGATTGAAAGTTTAATCAGGTAACGAATCGGGGAAAATGGACAATGTTATTATGGCATAGACACACATACATATGTATGTACATAAATACATATATAAATATTTCTATATGTACATATGTACTCAGGTATGGCTCGTTTGCTTAAGCAGCTTTTGGTTAAGTATTAAGCGGCAGGCGACGTGATAAAATTTTAGAAAACCGCCAATTTGTTCAAATTAAGGCCATTACCGTTTTTTTTTGTTTGTTTGTTGCTGTCCAACGATTACACGGCCCTCCCTCTGGTTCCCCCCCATGGTGGAGCTTAGAAAGTTTTTATTTCTTTTAATGTTTTTGTTCGATGCACTCGTAAAATAATTAAGTTTTGTTGATTTAATGATAGTTGACATTTTCACTACCATCCATTCATCCATCCATCCACCAGCATTTCATTCTCTTTGCGCTGCTCCTGACGCTGGCCAACTGTGAGCCGCAGTCGCCACATGGTGGAAAGCAGCGTCCTCTCGTCTATGGCAATTGGCCGCCAAAGAGCGCCAAGCAGTTGTCCCGTCCTGCGGCTGGAGGTATAGGAGGCGTCCCTGGAAAGCAGCGCACACTCGTCGTACAGATACGCAGCGATCAACCCGTGCCACTGGTGCTCAAGGGTCGTCCAGGTCACCAGCACACACATGCGACTCATCAGCATTTGGGCCACGCCCATGCCGTGCATCCACATGTCTTGCAGCACCCCCATTCGCACGCCCACCTACATGGTCATCCTCACCTCCTGCACGTGCCACAGCATCAGCATCAGCATCTTCGCGGACCTCGACCCATCAAGCTAAGTGCCCCCGTCTACCTGAAGCCCGCCAGCGCAGTGCGCAAGCCCCTCAAGATCAAGCTGAATAACTCGAAGCCTAAGGCGAAGCCGACCTTCGGGTATGACAAGCCCTTCAAGTTTGAGAAACCCACGGCTGTGTCCTACAGCGAGCTGCAGAATTTGCCGGTAAGTTAAGCATATCAGAGATCCAAGAGCATGAGTCGAATGCCATTTCGATGCCTGCTTTTGTGGACTTGATTGATATACGACACAGACACAAGCATCCACTACACGCATACACATGCCAAATCCCCCAACAGCTGGACACGCACAACAACTTCAACACTGAGCACTTTGCACCCATTTACACGATACCCGCACCGAATCTGGCCGGGCACGACAATCACTTGGAGCTGGACGATGGAGGCCATTTTGCCACCGCTTACCTTCCCCCACAGCACACTTCCCAGTCCCCGCCCCCCTCCGCGCGCCCACAGACATACTTGGCACCGGGTTACAATGTGCATGAGGATGAGACAAATGACCAAACCATCCGCGATCCCATTTCGGGCTCGCAGAAACTCTTTGCCCCAGATCCAGATCCCTCGCTGCCCACCTCAAAGATTCGCCCCGCCACCGAGAGCTTCAATACGCCGAGCAACAACAAGCCTCTGCCATCAGACGTCCAGAGTAATCATCTTCCCGCCCAGCCACTGGTGCAGATTGTGGGCGCCCAGGCAGCCGCCCAAACGGCTCCGGAGATCTATCCTATCCAGTACGCCCAGCAGACCCAGCAGTTGCAACCCTTCCTAGCCGCTTCCATTTCCGCCGCCCACATTCCCCTCTACAATCCCACCTATCTGGTGACCCAGTCGAATCAGCTGTACACGCAGCACAAGCAACAGCTCTTCAAGCCCAGCTCAGAGCATGTGCTCGAGACTGGCTATGTGAACGCGGATCTGACCCAAGAGGTGGCGAGCAATGGACAGATACTGCAGGCAGCCAAGGATCCGCATCACAACATTCACCCCGTGCTGGACTCGGCGCCGCAATACGCAGCTCTGATTGCTGCCCCGGTTCTGGGTGAGCCCGTCGAAAGTGCCTACGAGACGGCTTCCTTCCATTTGCCTAATGTGGCCTCGGCGGTGGATTCCACGGCTCCGGAGGGAGGCTTTGTGGTGTCCAACTACTACGGCCATGCGCACGATTCCTCGCAATTGCTGCAGGCCTATGCAGAGGAGGAGGCCCGCCGTCAGCAGTTGGAGACCGAGCACGCAGCCCTGGAGCTGCAAAAGCAGCAGCAATATCACCTCGATGAGCTCAAGGCCCAAGCGCTGGAGCAGCAGCAACAACAGCAATTTCATCTAGAGGAACTGAGGGCCCATGCTCAGCGGCAGCAGGAACAACAGCAGCAGCAACAGCAGCATCTAGAGGAACTCAGAGCACAGGCTCAAGCCCAGCAACAGCAACACCAGCATCTGGAGGAGCTGAGGGCACAGGCTCATGCTCAGCATCAGCAGCAGTTGCAGTTCGAAGAGCTGAAGGCCCAGGCCGAGGAGCAGCATTCGCAACATCAACAGCAGCAGCAACAGTTGCAGTTGTTGCAACTGCAGCAGCAACATCAGCAACTCCAACAGCCTGCCCAACATCACCCGCAGCCCGCCCAGGATCCTGCTGCAACAGCCTTCGAGGAGCATCAGCGACTAGTGCAGCAACAGCTGGGCAGCAACACGCCACTGCGCATCTTTGTGCCAGACGAGGATGCCGCGTCGGAATCGGTAAGAAAATCCCCTGAAAATCTAAAGGACCAATGAAAATTCTGATTCTTTTCCGTTGAACAGCGCCTGCAAAAACGATCGGATGATCTGAAGAAAGGCACGGTGGAGGATGTGCAGAATCTGGGATCGACCGACAGCGAGGCAGAGTCAGCCAAAGATTTATTTGAGGTCTCCACCTCCGTAGAAGTTGCCGGCGAGCATCACAATGCCAGCAGTACATAGTTATTTTTTATTGTTATGGCATAGTCTTCGACGCTGTTCAAATATTTATTCTACACACTCATTTGTATAAATGCATTCATATAGCGAGCAGTCGGTAGTTAAATAAATATAATCATTAATTTATTCAAATTGATTTCGAATTCATTTTGTTGTGGTCTTTGTGTTGGTCTTTGAATATGAAATGGTATATTTGGCTGAGAATACCTTGGGAAAATGGATATTATGGGCTTGAGATATTGTTTGTAATTTCAGGCTCCAATTAATACAGAAACTACTCAGTCTCTGGTCTAAACATATTAACGAAATTTTGCAGTTCACGGGTGCCAATAATAGGTATCAGAACCGGGATAAATGTATTTGTACAACACAAACCATATGTAAATTTAAAATATTTTACGCATTATAGGTGAAAGATGTCAGTGGTCATTTTTGTTTTGTAAATAAAGAGGAGGATGGAGCTACAAGGAGCCTTTACAAATAGTATTATTTTCCGCGGCTTAACAATGGTTGCCAAACTTTTTAAATAGAGGGGTGTTAAGTGGGTTAAGTCTCGTTTGATCGCCGGATTGCCCTGGTTTTTTTATGGTATGGTATTTAAATGGTATTTCTCGAAACTGAAATGGTATTTAGTGGTATTTATTTTTTGGCCAGATGGTATTTCTTATCGTTATCGGCGCATTCACGCTGACGCGGTCACACTTACGCAGATAAAAACACATTTCGCGTGCACTTTTTGTTTCAATTCTGAAATCCGGCGAAAACAAAGCTTCAAAGACAAAATGATTATTCCAATTCGTTGCTTCACTTGTGGCAAAGTCATTGGCAACAAGTGGGAGTCGTATCTGGGTCTACTGCAGGCGGAGTACACCGAAGGGTAAGAAGACACCACCAGTGGAGTCTCGGTCTCGTTCCGTGTCCTTTTCTGTATCTAATTTCACCCAAAAACTCATTACAGCGATGCATTGGACGCATTGGGCCTGAAGCGCTACTGCTGCCGACGCATGTTGCTTGGACACGTCGATCTGATCGAGAAGTTGCTCAATTATGCACCGCTCGAAAAGTAAACTTAGTCGTTGGAGAATTTAGAAACTGTAGATTTTATTGTAAAAATTAAAGCCTCGTGAAAACCACAAAATAATGAGAATTTCGTATCCAAATTGGCAGTGGCTTGGCACGATCTTCGTCTCTTCACATCTTGTCCATGAACCAAGGCTGGCCGTTGTTCTCGCGTCGCTTCGTCAGGATCTCACAGCCGTTGTTGTTCACTAGAAGAGTTTGCTCGAACTGGGCCGAGTAGAGGCCATCGCCGGTGACGGCAGTCCAGTCATCTGGCCAGCTCTTGGCCTCGCGCACACCCATGGATATCATGGGCTCAATGGTGAAGCAATGTCCAGGGGCCATGACGCCGACAGCAGAGTTTTCTACAAAAGATACAAGGATCAAGTTCGTCGTATATCATCTGGTTCATAATAGCATCCGATCTTACTGGCATAGTGGGGCACATTGGGTGCTGTGTGGAAGACACGATGTATGCCATGGCCGCAGTAGCTGCGCACCACGCTGAAACCATGTGGGGTCACATACTTCTGGATAACGTTGCCAATTTCGCGGTACTTGACGCCCGGACGTACAAGCTCGATTGCCTTGGTCAGGGCCTCGTGGGTGACCTGCACCAACTTCTTGTGCTTCTCCGAGACATTTCCGACAAAGAATGTCTCATTCAGATCTCCGTGGAACCCACGATGGAAGACTGTGACGTCGATATTGCACAGATCTCCGTCCTCCAGCGGCCGCTGGTCTGGGATGCCATGGCAAATCACTTCGTTGACCGATGTGCAGCACGATTTGGGAAAGTTGTAGTAGTTCAAGGGCGATGGATAGCAGTCGCGCTCAATGGCCGCCTCGTGCACTAACCTATCCAGCTCGTCTGTGGTGGTGCCCACCTCCACAGCCTTGGCTCCTTCGTCCAGACACTCTCTTCCCAGACGGCCGGCCACCCGCATGGCCTCAATTTCTTCATCATCCAGCACCTTGATGGTTGTGCCTCGCAGGGCCTCCTCTGAGAGCGAGCGTCCGTCTACGTGATCAGCATAGTCGGGTCGCTGAATGGCTAGCGGCACTGCACGCTTGGGGGTCTGTTCGAACGGACGCAGCTTGCCGGTGAATTTGAACTGAGGCCACGGGTTGTAAGCCCCATTCTCAGCCGCGGTCTTCTGTGCTCCGCCTGAATTGAATAGTTCGAATATTTTATTCATATTTATACAGGCGAATGTGTCAGACGCGCACTGAGACTAAATGAATTTCATAATGTACCTGCCAAAGCGTGTATAGCCTTATGTTCCTTCCAGAAGCCCTTGAAGCAAGGCTGGGAGCAGAAGAAGGAGCCCTTGATGCCCAGCTTCAGGCAGCTGGGACATTGCAGAGTCGCCTCTTTGCCGCAGTTGGTTGTCTCGCATATCTGAGTCATTTTATTTTTACTTACAAAATGTTCTTGCTGAAAATAGGACTATAGGGATGTGTGTAAATTGATATATTAGTATATCGAGTATTTATGTGCGATAGGCAGTACAGACGATGCATCGGCATTTCTGTAAAAATATCAGTAGTTTTGAGCGTTATGCTATCGATATATCGTGATAAATAATAAAATTTATAAATTTGTTAAAATACTAGTTAAATTCCGAGAAAACCGGAGAGGCATTCAATCTGTTATTAAAATAAGCCTTCAAATTTAAAATTTTCCGAAAGGCTTTCTTTTATTATCATTAAAAAGTACCATTTAATGGGAGAAAACGAGCAGCGCGCCAAACAAATTTTTAAATTTACACCCCCATCGGTGTGCTATTCTAGCAAGATGCTCTGCTTATACATATATATATTCAACATCCCTACTGTTTACGTTCAAAACGCGAACAACTTCGGTCGTGAACGGACATGATTTTCGCAGTGGCGGGAAAAGAATATTGAAAACGAAAGAATATTGGCAACAAACTTGTTTGCAACAAATGGCAGAATACAAATATCTGCAGCAAAGGCCAAAAGAATAAATCCCTTTGGTTCTGAAGTGAGTGTTTGTGTAATCAAGAGAAAGATGGATGTGTTTAGAGAGTGTTTATTGGATTATGATAACAGCCGAATGGAAACGAACAGAATGGGAATTTGGATTATTCAACAAGTGTATTTCGAATCTGTGTGTGTTGTGATTGGACTGCCGAACACCTCGCGGCTGCCACGCTAATCACACGGTTTAGTCGGTTCTGTTCTGTATTTTCAAGAGTCGCGATCCTTCGCACTCGATTCTAATTCGATTATAATCATTGTGTGCATTTGAGTGTGTTATCAGTTGTGGGTTGTGTTTTTGCATTATATGTATTTGTACGCGTACAAGGCAAGGCTCGTATGCTTGAGCACACAACAAATGAACACGCCGTTGTTGCCTCCTTCTCCCCTGTTCCGTGTTGATCTGTTGCTCTGTTGGTCTGCTGCTGATAGAAGCGCAGCATTCAATGGCTATAAATAACAAGCGGCACGCGGCGCGCTGACTCTGCCTCTGATTGTGTGAACTGCCCTGCCTGCCTGTATCATTGCCTCTTCCTCAAGTGCAACTGCTCCCCCGTCTTGGTGGGTGTTTTGCGTCTTACGCTTACTTCTGTCTACATATGTACATGTACATCCATATGTACATAAGTATGTCTGACGACGGCGTGCGGTTTCCAGTTTTCCGCTTTTCATTTCACACATCGCAAAAGTAAAAACAAAAACAAAAAACCTCAACGCAGATCATCGTCAATTGCCAATCTAAAGGCCGCCGGCATAATTAAAATAGAATGTTATATTTGTTTTTTTATTGTTTCTTACGATTTCGCTTTGTTTTACGAGTATGTGCTTATACAATGTGTGTGTTTGTGTTGCTACTGCAATACGGAACCAGCCGGAGTCAAGGTGCCCATGATCTCCGAGCAACGGCCACGACGATGCGAAATAGTAGAAGCAGATTGGGACCTCTTGGTAGCAACGAACTCGATCGCAGCCTCCAGTCGCCCAGTCCCCCAGTTCCCCAGTCTTGCCTGCCTCCTGATCGCGGGCCTTTTATTCATTGTTTGTTCTCCCCTTTGCTTTTTTTTTTGGTCAACGATCCGCATTTGTGGTCTGTCTGGCGTCTGGAGTCTGCCGTAAGGCCGGGGCAGCGGCAATTAAAGGTAAGCTGGGAGCCCAAAAGGCAGCCTGCACGTCCGCGCATTAGACTTAATTGGCTATGGGTCTGGGGCCCTGTGCTGGTTCCTCCTTCGGGACCAGGAATGTCGTCTTCCAGATTGTTGCAAAACTTTTTCATATGCTCCGCATTTTGTCTGTCAGTTCTAGATGGAAATTTATGCGTGGAGGAGAAAAGAGGCAGAGTGAAATGGAAAATATGAAATTCAAAATGTGTGTGGGGGGCGGCCCCCGCTCTCTGAGATGCTCCAACACTTCCGTTTTGCCAGAATATCAACTTCCGCTGCCGAACAATTGTCAGCGGGAGGGTTGGCTGATGCAGGGCAATGGTTGGGCTGTGGTGCACAGCGGCGGAGACGACTCTGAACAAAAGACGCATATTGATATTGTTGCCCAGGTTGCTCACGCTCCAATAAACCCACCCATCCCACCCCTTCCCTCACACCCGTACGAACGCTGGGAGAAAGGAGCTTTGGGAGCTAGAAAACGCATTTCGTTTTTGCTTCACTGGACTGCTGCCCTTGTCTGTCCCCTCAACTGGCAAACATTTTGTGGCAACTTGGCCATTAAGCATTTCGTGTTTAAGCAGTAGCAGCTCCAGCTCCCCCACCAGATCCCACTCCTGACACCCTCCTCCGCTGAGCCCAAGGACAGCAGAAAGGAATAAAAATTGCCCGCGTATGCATTTCTTAACAATACTTCTCGCCCCGGACAATGCTCGTACTTCCCTTTCCCCCAGCGACAACATTTCATATTTTCTGCCAGAGCCATGCTTTGAATAGAATTCATTTTGATTTTTCCTTCCCTTCGTTCCCTGTCCATTCCTTTCCTTTCCTTTACATTCCTTTTCTTATTATTTTCCTTTTTTCTGTTCCCTTTTACTCTCTCTGTCTCTTCGTCTCCACACGCACTTCACTCTGATGGCGCTTAACAAATTTTTGCTGGATTTCTTCTTTTTTTTTTTTGTTGTCTGGGGGTCCATTCTCTCGTATTTTTGTCCTGGAAATGTTGAATTTTTTACAATTTTTTGCTGTCGTAGCAGCAGAAAAATTAAAAGCGAATTAAGTTCGGACAAAACTCAAATGGGAAGAAGTGGGGAGCCACACAGTATCTGGTAACCAAAGATAACTGCAGCTAAGAGCAGGTGAGAACGTAACGACCTCAAAGGTGGCCCAGCACACGAAACAGCAATGGAACATGACATACACCAAATCGTATATAAGATTTGAGTTATTTTATGGATATTAGAGACTCAGTCTCTGTCTCTATACATAGCTGAAGGAAGCTGGAGGTGTAGGGGTAGGCGTGTTGGTGTCTTGTGTAGGCGTTACAGCTGTCGCCGTGTTCCTAACAAGCATCGTAGCATCCACATCCACAACAGAGACACTGCAGAGACGATGACGACCCACACCCCCCGGCATCGTCTTAAACTCCACGAGTTACGAGTATTTCTTTTCGTATTTTTACTTCATCTTTTGCCACGCCTGCCACTGGAACTGCTTTGAATTTTTTTTCCTCCCCCAATTTCTGTCGCCATAAAGCAAAGTTAATGATATGTCGCAAGTGTTTGTCTCTACGTGTAAGTGTATGGGTGTGTGTGTGTGTGTGTGAGTGCCACAGTGTACTTGTGTGAGTGCGACGACACAAGTGCGCTTCCACTTGGCTGAGTCCTGTCCTGTTGGCAGTGCCCCTCGCCGGCACCCTCTTCGCCTCCTGCAACATGTGTAATTAATTAAAGTCTAAGCAGATTTTATATTTCACTTACTTGGCCCTGGCCTCAGACTAATTTATGGGGTACATCATTTTACTTTTTGTCATATTTCTTCTGGTAATTATTATTTCTGTGATAAAGATAACTAATTGGGGACGCATTCATATTTAATGCATTACCAAAATTAAATACAAAGTTAATTATATAGAAGATTCCAGAGGGAGACATAGATAACTGCTCCCATCTCTTAAGAGACCATCATCCTAAGGCTGAAATCTTTCTTAAATATTTATCATGTATGTGCGTTCTTTTCTCAAGCAGACATCTTTCTTTCTTTTTGCATTTATTGTCTCAATTTAGGTTTAAAAATTCTGATTTTTATTCCCTCACACATCACTTCTGGGCAGACATCTCCGTTAAAAACAAATAAAAGACCCAACTGTAAGCGTGGGTGTCCGCTCAAGTATCGGACTTTATTCGAAGAATGTTAATATGCCGAAAAATTGCCCCACATCCAGAAGAGTTTCATTCAACCATTCAATAGCTTCGATTGCTTTGGTCATGGTTTTGGCATTTTGTAGTTGGCCAAACTTAAACTTGGTCCACAAACTTTTCACTTTCCGACAGCGTCTCTCTCTCTCTCCCACAGATCGTTTTCGCTTGCATGCATTTACATGCCAGAAGTTAAGTCGCCAATTCCCCCACAAAACTCTCTCGCTTTGTGCCTCGTCCTTTATTCTCCCCCTGGCATCCCACCCAGTCAGCGCGATGGGGGGTTTCCATATAAATTTGTACAACGGTCGCCCTGCCGTCACTTTTATTTGCCAAATTAAAAGGATTTCACTCGCTTTTCATATTTGCATTGTGTGTGTTTTCCCTTATTTTTTTTTTCTTTTCCATATTTTATCGCCAGGCTGGCAGGCGTTGGGCCCTGGGACTGGGACTCGTCGTTGCCGACAATTTTCCCACGCAATCACCATAAAAAGGAATCTTTGCCGCCATATTTTTGCTGGCGCTGCTTGCCGGCAATTGTTATTCATGACCCGAAACAACAGGGGCATCATCATCAACAGCATCATCAGCGGCAGCAGCAGCATCCTGGTATCCGAGATTCAAAGGTGCGCATCCCCACGATCCAATGGGCCGGGCCATGTTTGGGCCTCCACCCGCTTCCACCCAGTCCCAATTCCCAGGCCACAGACCGGTCGTCATTTGTCGTTGTTAGTATTAATTATTTCTTAACTTTAGTGCAGAGGCCAGCCATCAGGATGCGGTAGCCGGAATCGGGGCTGCGAGCCAAGTTTATAAATAAATCGCAAATTCTTTATGAACCATGAGCAGGCCATACCCAATGGCTGTCCAGTGCTGGCCATTGCCCATGCCATGCCCTCTTGGCTTGTATCTGGCCCTGTGGTTATTTGCATCACCCGGTTTCTGTTACAGATTATGGCAATGAGGATGCGACGCCCGGCAGTTGGTGGGTGGCAGCGGTTCCCCCTTCTGTCTGCGGGGTGTGTTATGGCTGAACTTTATTTACATTCACATGCCGAGCAGCTAAATAAACAGGGCTTGCCTTTTTCCTCCTCCCACTCCCACATCTAC